CTTAGGGTACAAATATGCTGGAGCGCCGCTCCACGCGCCAAGCGCCGCTTCACGCGACGCTTCAAGATTAACTGATGTATAGTTAAGCGTCAAAGAATGCTACAAACAAGACGATTTATTTTATTGTCACAGTTGCAAAGATGTTCTCGGACAGCGAGGATGAAATTATTTTTAATAACGCTGCTTTGCGTTTAATACTACAAAGTTATAGAGAATATTCGGTACACCCGACAAACAGAAAAAGGAAAAAAATGGACAATATTATAATCTTTTCCTTCAATTAAAAAACCATCTTGCACGATTTTTCGAATATCTCAGAATGGAGATAAATACGTTTAATTATATACTGGAAAAACGATCAACGATTATCTAGAGCCCAAAAAACGATAGAATGTACTTTTGGAATAATATATTCAAAATGGCGAATTCTTTCTAAAGCTATAGAAATGGATGAAAAGACTGCCGACAAAATTATTAAGGCAATATGTATTTTACATAATGTAATTATTGACATAGAAGGGTTTCCAAGGCATCTAGCATTAGTTGAAGAAGATCACAACTTGGCACAAAGGGCATATCATATATCATAGCACTTGGCATATCCAATCATGCAAAAGCAATACGAGATACTTTTAAAGATTACGTAAATAACTTTCCAATTAGATTATTAATAATTAAACTGATTATTTGTGATTGTCACTTTAATATTTTTATTATCTTTGTAATAGTACTACATAGTAGAAAATAAACAACATAACAATAACAAGTTTTTTTACATTCTTCAGCTACTTCTGCCCACAATTTATCAAGAACATATCTATTCCGATGATCCGAATATGACTGATTCCAGATGGCCCTTCTATTATATACAGAATTAATTATTTGTTCTGTGTCCATCGTAAAATCGACCTGTGCACAATGGATGCAACTCAAGACTAACGCGCTTCAAAAGCTTCAAAGAAATCGTGAAAATATGTCGTTCGCTACATCGCGACGCTTAAATCCTCACTATGTGCGGGTCCATTGAAATACATTATACTTTTCTAGTGAAGCGGCGCTTGGCGCGTGGAGCAGCGCTCCAGCATATTTGTACCCTTACGCATGTCTCGGTTGACCTGCTTGGAACGCCAATGATCTCTTTGACAGACTTATTTATTTATAATGATATACGGGAGTAAAAACAAACGAATTTAAACTGTCATTACAAAACAAATTTAAGCTGTCAAAAATAATTGAAAACATTGAAATTATATTATATATTATATATTTTACGACGAGTTTTAATTATTGAAGTCAGTACGACCAATTTTTGTATTTGAAATATTCATCAATATTTATCTAATAAATTATCCAATTCACTTTCTGGCCATGACCTTGAGTATGATTATGTTAAAATATATTATCTAATTGTAAGTAAATAGTACATTCATTGCGTGAAAATAAATATCGATACCTATAGTCAAATTATTTTGATATAATTTTGCTTCTTTAATAAGTTACGGATATTTAAAGAAATATTATTTTGTTTATTTTGCTTACAATAACTCCGTCACCCTTTAAGGGCCCCATATTCTTTAAGTAGTGTTTTCCACAAAGACGAATAATTTCAAACATTTAATAACTGAATAATCTAAAGCTTATCAAATAATAGGAATGTTATGTCATGCCACCTGAGTATTTTCAAAGACGCCGCAGTAAAACGAATAAACAGGTGCAAAAAACGATCAAACCATCAAGGTTTTAGGTACTGAAATCTACGAAAATACTAACTTTTTTATATATAACTCCACATGTAAATATTCTTATAACATTTACTTGCTTAGTCCTACATATAAAATTGTTTACTTTTATTTATAAGTACGTGAAAATAATTCTTAAAATGTGGGGTTAGGATAACAGCAAACGCATGTTTTACAAACGCTTTTTTCTTAGTTATTATTTTATTTGAGTAAATTTAAATAGTAACAATGAATAAACAGAACACCAAGGATTTTATTTTTGTGCTTACTTTTGTTGTACACGTTTTAGTTTTCAAGATTTCAGTACCTAAAACGCCAGAAATTTGACTATTTCTCGGCCAGGGATATGGCCACCTTAAGGTATTTCAATAAAACCTAATGTAGGAGAATTTACGAGTAGGTACGTATAGGAATAAAACTTATTTGTTACCTAAATTTCATCCAACATGTCTTTTTTTTAAAATTGTACCTTTTCTGATAATCACTAAACGAAAAGAATATAGCAAATAATGCTTTTATGACAAAAACATCATGAGCCATTATATATAAATGCGACTTATTTAGTTGGTAATATACCTATATTCTCAGTAACTAACTCCGACATTAATAACTGCAAATGACAAAATATCAAAGGCCAAAGATAAATGTAAATCCTTCATCATAAATTGTCTTTATTTATTTATTTAAACGCTGAGTTTTAGGTAGAATTAATATATGCATTTTATTATTACTTACCATAGCGATATCATTACCATTTGTCGATAGTAGACTCTCAAGAATTTCTTGTCCCAAAGTATTTTTCGGTAAAGGACCACCATAGTCTGGTCCATATATCACAAATTTATCATCTACAGACATGATTAAAGTCTCGCTAAGTACATACTGAACAATACATACATGCAGTAAACATATTATATCTAATTTTATAACGACTTAGATTTGTTTATATGTTATATTACACTGTTTATAATAAGATACTGATACGTTATCAAAATAAAACGGTTTCGTTTAAGGCCGGTGTCCCATGCATCCGAAATCCGATGTACGATATCCGAAAATATTTTAATTCGTACGAATGATAATATTA